TAATTCTTTTGCATCCGTTCGGCATGCACGTCAGGTATACAAATGATTTTGCCATGTATTTTTGTGTTTTCGAATGGATTTTCCTGTTAGCATTCCATCCCAATTGACAGCAAACCGAAGCCCCAATTTAATTAATTTTCGACAATTTCATGGTATAGTTATGCCCTCGACAATCGAGATATTGAAGCATGTTCCTGATGCTCTCTGCCCCAACATATATGGCTCGTGTTTTCGGTAATTTAATTAAGTACAAAATACATTTAAAAGGGGGTGAAAGATTTTCCTGTACTTGACGAATAAGCCCGATAAACTTCATGTGGCAATATTCATTTCATCATACTCAATCATCATGATTGTGAACCATTTTCAACGGACAAAATCCACTTTGAAGCCCAATTAACGGACTATTGATGCAAATTCTGATATTATGACTATATTGATGGATAGCGCAATATATTGGGAGAAGTGGGTAATTGCATTGTTTTCTCAGAACAATTAAGCTGGACTGAACTAGCTAGCAATTGATTACAATTATCTCCTCTTCAGTGAGCATATTTCCGTCTCTCATTTATCGAACTTTAATTGCATATATTTAATAAAATTCGAATTATTATTTACTAATTATCGACATGAAGTTGTATCCACATCTGTAATTTGATCATTTATGATTTATTTAATGGTTCACTCAATTAGCCCAGCTGTAATTTACTGCTATTGTTCTCATTTGAAGCAGCATTATTCAAGAAATTATATTTCAGGGCTTTTTGCATTCAGCCATATTTAGTTGGCCTCACTTAAAATTCGCCAGCAGACTCAATTTAGAACTAATTCAAATGGATTATGTATTATTTGGAAATACTATCGTCATATTATTTGAATTTATTTTTGTTATAAAGACTTGGTTAATTTGCAATTATTTGTTTGCAAAACAATTTTTCTTGTATATGTGGAAAGTATATAATTTTCATATCCGCGTTAATTTTAAGAGTGAAAGATTTTATTGAAAATTTGCAGATCCTTGTCTTCGCCAGTTCATAAATAAACTAAGGGAAGGTTTCAAATCATCTTAACGGCTTTATATAGATTTATTACCTTTAGTCAAACCATAAAACTTCTTTATAATTCTCATAATTGGGTAATAAAAATGTGGAATTTATGAATTAGCTCGAGCATGGTGACATCTAAAAATAATCATTAAAACTTGGGACTTTACTGAATGCTAAATTAGTTTATAATGTAAGGATGACAGACGAATATAAGATTCATAAGCCAAAGTTTTCGACTGTGATTTATTCAGTATTCATTAACTGTCTCTTCTGATGTTTTCCAATTTCAATCAGTTAATTGAACCAAACGGGGAAGTATCCAAAACAACGCTTTCTGCGGAAAATTATGCCTTCGTTATTAAGTCATTTTCATTTTCTGGTCTTGTAACAAATTGGTTTGTTTGCTGTCTCGTTAAAATTAATTGGTATTGCTTTGCTACAGTCCAAGAAACCTTTCGTTGAAGTACAAGCACCTTAAAACTTTCCCGGCATCTCGGTGCGTGTCGATTAAAATTTTATTTTCGAAATGTTTCACAAGCCGGCAAAATCAGTATTTGGTACAACAAACTTCTCGTAGTCCTAATTTGGTTTAAAGTTCGAGCTAACCAGTAAATTGCTTGCCACCCTACATGAAAATCCAACAAACATTATGTATATTCTAAATATAAACTTCGTAATTTCCACTTAATTTAAGGGCGTTATGCTTTGTCACCAAATTATGGGTCTCGAGTTACGATTCCCCTATTGATAACTTCATCCGGCCCAATATGCCATCATGTAAGGATGCACATTAAATGATCCGATTTACAATGCTGCAGGTTAATGAGCTACAGGTAATTAGTGCATGTGACATTTGCTTAACTCGGTTTAAGTCCATATTTTACTCCAGGGTAGTATAAATGAGACATTAGCAGCCCCCCAATTTCAATGAGCTGAGACAAATCGACTATAACAAGCCAATACAGCGGATTTTCAAGTTTTGCGTGTTTCACATAAACTGAAACAATGCAAAAAGTACTTTTTCTAGAGCAGCAATTACTATCTTTGGAGATTAAGCTAAAAAATTAAGTGCTTTTCAAATATCTTCGAGTAACACCTCCAGAGAAATGACACCAGTTTTCAATCACCTCAGAATATTAATTTTCATTAATTATAAATACTTTCTCAATTCCCGTGGAAATTGCCAGCAAAGTTCAAATTATTTCTGCTTGGAATTCTTTATCTAGCAGCTATTTAATTAGTTTCGAAATCCACGGACTTTTGTCACGTACTATCATTGCCTGGACCTCTAAAGCTTGGATGTGACCTCGAGCTTTACCGAGAATGTCCGGGAGCAAACCAGTTTAAAGTTGTATACACATTAGTTCTAATGACTGGAAAGATGAGTCTGGAATTATTACCACTGAGCCAGCGAAAGCAGATTCTTTACAGTTGTTGCCCAATTACAACACTTTCAATTAGCTTTATTTTTCCCGACTTGTTTCTAGATACTTACAGACTTTATTCTTGTATTTTATGGCGGTTTTGAAATAGACTTTTGGGACAAAATTTAATCATTTTTTACTTGTTGCTATACTGTTGTACACAACAATCGCATTAAGTGGTGTCGACATGCTTTTTTATTTTACAATTCGCATCTTCGAAATTAAAGCAATCTTTAGAAAATGCGTGACTGAACATACTGGAAGTTTTATGAACGTCAATCTGCATCCTGTTTTTTGCCAGCTTAGTCAATATCGGTCATCGAACGGATGTTTTTACCCCACTCATTTAAAAATTAAAATCTTCCTTACTGAAGCAAGCAGGGAGTTGAAATTTGCCCAATCTTTAAAAGACTCTTGACTCTAAATACGCTGAAACTTTTATAAAAATCGCCCGGCCAGTAGCCACCTCTGAAGATGTTCGTCACTCATATTTGCAAAATGTCAGGAATAAGTTCTGTTCCACTCCAGCCTAAAAGCCCGCAAAACTTATCAATTTCAAAATTTTAGAAAGTTTTACAGCAAATAAATTAATTCAAAACCATCCCGTGTAATTTAATCATTATGCTGAGTGAGTTCCTGGCATTGAATTTGGTATATCGTTATAAATATTGTAAATTCAAGGCCTAATGCTCTAAAGTGATCGTTTAAACCATACGGAGATACAAAACATCCCGCTGGAGCTTTTTTAATGTCACTTTTACACTTCGACTTGATAATGCCGACGCCAGACATAAGAGGGCCTTTCTGTTTAATCCCGCTGGATTTAATTTACAGAAAGTATATTCCCACTGGGCTGTGTTCCATTTTAAAGGCTTGTTTTTTGAATTATAAGTAGCTTGCCTGCTTTGGCAGCTCATTGATATTGGAAGCCATCATCCGAGATTAAGTTATTTGTTTCGCTTTTTTTCCGCCCGATTTTACTCGGAAATTAATGTACTTTCCACATTTATTTGTCTAATTCCATTCCCGGCTTATTTGTCATCACAATAGTAATTGTATTTGGCCATCAATTTTATTTAACCAAATTACCTCTAACGTACGGGATTCAATCGTTCAGTTTATACACATATTTGCCAATTATCGGTTATTGTTGCTCAGTCAGTTTATTTCTGAAAATGCCCTAGTAGGGGAGCTTATGGCTAATTGGACCTCCTCTCGATTCGATACACATAATTATAGACATCATCTGGAATATGTTAGCTGGAACTTACTGTTTCACCCCGCATTTCTACATAACATATTATCTTTTGTATCGTTATGGAACTTGCTGTAAAAACTGTATAAACATCCCCCATTAAAAAAATTGAAAAACATATTTTCAGGCTGGTATGGTTGCATGAACAATCTCTTTTTAGGTCACGTATTTTATTCGCTAAGCAATATTGATTCAAGCAATTTAACTATAGTTAAAAGTAAAACATTGAAAGTTATTTTTGGACTAGCTAATGTATCAGCAAAGAGAGCAACCATTATTTGCAGCCATCATAATGCCAAATTTTCGAAAGACAAACTTTAGGTGGAATATCTAAGCTCGCCCTTCATAAATATGAATGAAGTTTTGTTTGAATTCTTTACTATGGATTAGAGACTTATTCTCGGTTTCTCTGCCGTATGGGTTTAAGCCTTACGCTATTTATTTATTTACGAATTAAAGGGTTTAGTGCCTTTGCGTTGGCTTAGGCATTTGTTTCCCCGCAAATTGGTTTTATACATATATGTACAATATGCAAATTAAAGTAATATAATGAAAAACGTGTATGTATTTTTTCTTTATACATTTCAGTTACAGAGACAATGGAAACAATCAAAATAAAATTCTCATTTGTTTCCTCATCAGTAAAAAGTCATCCACCAGTTATGAAATTCGATTTATTTTGCTTGTGATTCGTCAACTTTGTTTTTACTTCCGCAAGGAGATTTGGTTGTATCTAATACCGACTAAAGTGTTGTACTTAAAATGTACTAATTAAAAATCTTTCCATTTCTTTGCCTTTTGCAAAAGCAATTAATTTCTTTCAGTTAACACTGCTAATTAAGGGTTACTTTTGTGGAAGTATACAGTTAAATCCAGCTTTTGCTAGAACCGACTTTATTGCATCTGGTTGAACATTAATTCTTGTTGTATTTCCGTCTATTTGGATTATTTCTATTTTTGCTGCAGACTTTTCTGTTCTGATGCAAAACCATTCACCTTTTGTTCCAACACTTCGAACAAAAAGTCTTTATTTTCTAGGTAATTATTAATTCGTCGTTTTGCGCTAGGATTTGTCTAGTAGATTTTAACTTTAGGAACGTTAATTGAAATATTTATTTGTTGAAAAGTTGTAATTGTTAACAGACACGAACGTCATTGCTGAAATGAGCAACAGAAGGAACATACGTTTTATGGGTTTGATTGTTCGAATCGAGAATGGATATCGATAAATTTGGGGTCTGTTTGCTTCTGAAAAAAGTCAACAATTCTGTACTGTTTCAATGCTTCATTACTGCTATAATTCGACTTTCCTGACAAATTGAGATCCGAAGCCTACGGCATTAAATTTATTGAACATTGTTTTCACTGTCACACTCCACTCTTGCTTTCACTCTCTGGATATTTTGTCATGCTGTATTTATGTCGTTGTTAAACGTTCCTCCAGATATTTCGATGTGCTAAAACAAAGAAGACAAATGTGTTTTTCTCGTTGAACGCATAAAGAACAAAGATGTCAACGACATGCTTACATCCAAACAAAATTCAAAATACCAAAACAGTGAAAGTCCCCTTTTTTGAATAAACTAAATGTATCCAGATACAGTAAAGGCGAGAAAAAGAATCATCACACCTGGCCGGGATCCTAAGACAGACGTTATTTTGAAAACGGCACGTCACCGGTCCCATGTAATCCCTAATGTTATTTTAAGGAAGTTTTATTTTACTTGGTCTTGTCGGATGACTTTTGTGCCGTGACGATCCGAAGAAAATGTGGTCTATTGTTTTGGCATTTGGCGGGACGAGAAATCGGAATTTAAATCAAATCCGACTTACCCACCTTAAGCGAAATAATTAATGCGATTTTCGATGTATTTTTGGAATTGCTATTAAAAGATTCCGTTCAAGTTAATGACGTTTAAATCAGGGATTTATTCTTCAAGAAGTTGGATTTTTTCCTGCTTTGAAGCTCTTTTATTCGCTAATCCAAATGCATTGTATCAAAAAGTGCTTATTGCTGAATTCAATACGGGAAATTGTCTTGAGTCGTTGCTGTCGAATCTTTCAAAGTTTTACGGCACGTTCGCCGTTTGAAATGTCATAAACAATTTACATCCACTAAAAGTGGCCTCTTTAACGTTTCCACAAAGGATTTATTTAGACGTTAACAGTTTATGCGTCTCTTAAATTGGTTTGATGTGCCTAATATTAGACGTTAAAAACAATGCCTTTCCGCCAGTTTGCACTAACTTCTGTGTTAACGAAATTAGGCAAAGACAAAGAGGCTGCAATATTGGTACTTAGAGCACTTTGTGAATAAATTATTTGCTCCAAGGTAATTTACCTTTAGCTTTAAGCAGTCTCAATCGACAAATGACTCTTAAACTTTGAAAGGCTCCCAATTTTTCTAAACAGATCTACTGAGCTAAGACACAAGGCTTAGAAAATACGAGAAAGCAAACAAAAACAATAATAATATTTCTATAAAGGTGACAATCGATAGATAGCATTCGCACTCGAATCAATAAACGCCCGGCCTCTTGGCCAAATTGTTTGCTTACCCCTAATATGTATTTGTTTAACCGGCTCTTTTTATGTATTTTATTTATTTAGCTCCCTGTTATTTACTTTATATTTAAGATATTCTTCCAATTTAATGTTTACATAATGGCATAAGAGACTGAAAAACTAATCAGTAACAAAAACATGGTACATCGGCAAAATACCACATTTTCTTGGTTCACCTTTTACGCCTGCCGCTCTATTATGCAAGGGTTAAGCCTATCCTTCAGGAGTTTAGTATTTAATCCCCAAAAATCCGCAACTGAGAACAGAGCTTATATAGTACAAACCACACTAATCACTATTATTTGCACGCAAGACATTGCAACTAAAGCTAATGTTTCTAAGCGTGGTTACAGCAGCCATACATGGTTTGAAAAACCTATTGGCTAGACGCACTCACAAGCACAAATTAATTTCAATTAAACTTAAGGACTGCCTGCAAGTAAACGGTGTTTAATAAGGGCAATTAAAAATTAGCAGGTGCTGACTTGAGTAATTGTTTTCTCGCTACTTTTTACTGAGTGCCTTGAAAAATAATTAGTCTTTGTCATGGTGTTTTTGCGTGCACCCTCGAACTAAGCAAGGCAATGGAAGAAAACAAAGTTACCTGGAACCAACAATCATACAGTTAAATTTATCGAAAATTATAGGTTTTAAAAATAGTGGTATTGAATAAATTACTTAAGAATTGAAAGACACTGAATTAAGAAAACTTGATCTATTTTATCATATAAAAATATTCCATCTTACGATGGTTTGTAAAGTTTACATTAACTGTTGTTCCTACCTACAATGTTAAAGTTTACGGCTACAAAAGTCAATCGGGACTAGACCGTTGAGCTTATTTTCATTCAATAACTTTGTGTTTTCAAAGCAAATAATCTAAAATGTTACCCGTTCTACGTGGCAAGGACGTGCTTATTTCTCGAGCGGTTACAGGAAGCGCAAAAATTGCGAAATTCTTTTGCCCCAAGTTTTAGGCAGATTCAAAAATATTGAACAGGAAATATAGATTTTTTCGCTTTTCTGAATTTTTGATAAAATAATATAAGCGAATGAATAATGTTTTGTGTTCAAGAGTTTTGTTCAACTGATTCTGATTGGCCATTATGGAAAAATAAATCGGCTTGGAATGAGGTATCGGCACCAAGAAAGCCATTTGAAATCGAGCATGACTTTTTGACCATGGCTGCTTGTTTCTATTGCCTAATAATGAGATTTTACCTTTCCAGTCGCCCTAGTAAATCCGACAAAATTGTCAATCCCCTTTTGAGATTAAATTATTTTTATTGAACGCCCAAGCTATTTACTGTTTTTATAGAAATATAATTTTATTCCAGTTCGAGTCGAGAAAAACAGTCCCAAGGAATTCCGGTAATAATTTTCAGCGATTCGTCATCCGGTTCAAAATATTTAATTATAATTTATTAAGATTTGAGCAATAAATTTCCCCAGCTGGCATTCTCGAGCGATTTTCTGGGCGGCCAATCCTAAATTACCACTGTCGATTTGTTTTTCTTTTCACCGTAGAACAATCGAGCATCAGGGGCAATGATCTTATAACGACAAATTATCATAACAATCGCCTTTATTTCCGAGTTGAGGTTTATCATTTCTTGAAAAATGAAGATATGCCGGAATTCCTTTGGTAGCTCCGTAGCTTTGTTCAGATTTTTTCAAATTGAACTCATCACTCACTGTTAGGCATGTGTCTGGCTTCAGTTGGAAACAATAATTAATGCAAGTACATAACTAAACACGATACGTTCCATGTTCCAGCCCATTCCAGTCACACGAACAATGAACTACAGTCCAAATAATTCAACATTTTCGTCACATGCATATTATGAGTAATTAAAGTAATTGCTGAAAATTTGTTACTAAATTACATTCTGTTGCAAAGGCATGTATTTGCAAACTAGTGTAATCACTGCACTTCATCCCCAATACTCTGCTCTGGCAACGGTTATATCTGCAAATCATATTTTGATATGAAGCAGCAACAAATTGATTTTAAACGACCTTCACTAACGAACCTATTTGTTGAGAGAAAAATGCCTTTCACTGAATTCTAGTTATTTCTTGAGCGTAAGAAAATGTATTTGGCTTTTGTAGATTAGCTGTTGTGAGTCGGGGAGAATTAATAAGTTTAGAGCGCCTTAATCCAACAAATAAAGTGCAAAATTGTACAGATCTAACGTAGTGTAAGGTACTCTTCTTAATTTTATTGGCTCTTCTTGACCCACCTCCAAAAGGGGATTTTCAAAATATTGCCTGTTTTCCTATTTGCTCACAGACTTGTTCCAATATTGCGCCTCAAAATCAAGTCTTTCTTATCTTTTAAACCGATTAGATTCCGAAAAGCGAAACAAATAAATTGAATAACCCTGTATCGCCAATGATTGGACACCGTCTAAAGCTGGCCTTTGAATATTCCTATGAGATTGCATTCCAAACCGTCGCTTTTCTGAATAATATTGGAATAATTCGGACGACCCGAATAAGTAATTCCGATTAGGATAAGGAATCTTCTGGTAGTGGTCAGCACATGTTTCTCGAGCGCCAATTAATTAATCAGTTAAAAGCGCAATAAAATTGCAAATTGTATGAAAACAAGAAGGGTGCCAATTTGGCAATTATTTTTTATGCAAGTCATTTTCACATCCTTTGTGGCCATTAAACAAAAGAAGATAAGGCGCCTTGCCCGTTATCTAAGGGAAGAAGGGCATACGCTCCATTGTTAATTGCGCTGTGGTTCTGTAAAACAGGAACTAGTCAGGCCTATCCTACACTCTGCAGGAATCAGACGCTCAGACGGGTTCGGGATATCGTCGAGCGTGCTGTGAAAATTCCCCGTTGGGGCAAAGTTTCGGGAGTCGTGCGCGTAAGTTGTCATGTGCAACTTTTTCGTGATTTAACTATGCCATTGTCAGTGTTTTCTGTGATTTTCATTTACATCTTTTTGGGGTTTGGAACTGACGCAGAGGCTCAAGACTACCAACGACCGGATATTTTCGGTAGGGGCACTTTTTCAATTCTCAAAGTTTGCGCAGGAATTTTTTGAAATTCTGAAACTCCTCTTCAACTGGGAACTGCAAAGTTGGAAAAACATTATCCGAACTGCAAACACTTAAAAGTACTTGAAACTTATCCAAGAATAGTTAAAATTGCAAAGTTATGAAAATTCCCAGAAAGTTTCTGTTGTAGATTTAAAGAGTCTTGTTAGCAGGGAAACGCGACTTATGCAAGCTAAGGCAATCGCATCTGCCTCTAGCAGATCAATTAGAGTTATAAGTTGAAATTGTTTTGAATGCTTCCTTCAGAGTAGATATGCGATGACTAGAGTATTAGTATTGAGCCTAGTCACGCTACACAATAACAAATTGACTGTGAAATTAATTCGTTGTAGAAATTCCGGCGGCTGGTTTCTCACCCTCGGACCCTCTAAAGCGTGTGTCAATATTTTAGGTCAATAGATCCCATGAGGTTAACATACCTTCAGCTTGCTGATCTAAAATATTACCCCAAATTCTTGTTAAACTGTTGGAATTTGTTTCTTAACCCGCGGTTTCTACTTACGCCCTGTTTATTAACTCGGCGCCTTTGAATTGATTTCACAGCAATCGCAATTTATGAAAAGTTTCATGACGGCGTTTTGGTTAGTATGGGCACTTTATTAAAGTTTGAGTTGTAACCACCTTAAGCGTGTATTATTTGGTTAGCCACTCTATCAGGGAAATAACAAGAATCTAACAGATATTTTGATTTTGGCTTCAAAATTCTTGATTGGTGCGATATTCACGAGAAAACGAGTTTTCTACTAAAAGTTTTACTGAGTTATCTAGTGAGTTTTTCAAGGTTTGAACCTAAAAGTCCGAGAATCTCACCAGTTTCAAGCAATGGCCGCAAAGAATTTTCCGTGAGCAAAGTGGGGACAGTTTCCACACTTTTGTGTCTTTTTTGGTTATACACGTCTATATATAGCTATTACTCAGTAAACATCCAGCTTTTTGATGGTTAAAAAACTAGCTGCTATTTTTTCCTTTTTAGCCAAAATAGAAAAACTGTAATTATTGTCACTGTAAAACTGCAATCCGTCAATTATACATTACGATGTTTAATAAAGGCGCGGCAAATTTTAAGGGCGTGATTTCTTAGTTCATTTTCTGAAAAAAAAAATTCTATAAACATAAGTCCGAAAGTGCACACTCTCCAAGATACAGGGTGTTTCAGTGGTATACAGTGATTTTCAAAAAATATCAATTGAAATTTGGTATTCAGGGATTTTGAATTACAAATTTATATTTATATTAATTTAGCTCTAACGTCTAGGGCCGCCATCAGCATGACTTTTTAGAAGCAAACATTCAGCTTTTTTTACGGGAAAAAAATTGCCAGCTACTTTTTGCTTCTTGTTGGCCAAAATAAAAGAAGCTGGTCCAGTGTCTGGATATTTTACAAATAAGTCACATTTGTTATCCCTTTCTTTCTTTATATCTCCATGTTTTGGTTCTTTGATAGAACCGCATCAACATGTGTCATCTAATCAAACGGAGGGATTTATTTTCAGGTTTAAAAAAGTCAAATTAAGCGTTCAAAAATTGTATTTCTCTTGGTCGGCTTTTTATGGTCATCGTTATTGAGATAACGATAGAAGCATTAAAGTAATGTTAAAATGTACTGTTTCAAACTCTCTCTCTCTAAACGCTTGCGTGCAAGTCAAAGGTCCAGAGCAGCAAAATATTTCAGAAACTATTGCGCGAAAACTTTTGAAATTTAATATGGGCAAAATTGCCAGGCCTATTTTTTTTCTTAGAGTTTCAATCAATCTATTTTCAATTAAGTTTGTATGTTTTTATTTAGTTTTTCAAATGCAAGCAATCTAAATATTAAATAAACATACATTATTTCAAATATGGAAGTTCGGGCATTTGGGAGGAAGATAAACTTGGCATTTGTGCACATAATTATTGGATCAAGCATACTTAAAATTTCCGGCGTACGAAATTGCAAAAAAGTGCACGCAATCCGCTTTTAATTTAAAACGTTTTAAATCCTGGATTCACCACTGATTCTTGTACATTAGCTGGTTTTTAAATAGTTTTTGAAACTATCTCTAATAATACGCTTGCTGTACGTGCAGTCAAGCTTTTTATCGGGAATATGTAGATCTAGAGCGTTAGCAAAACTGTGAAACTTTTAGAAAAGACAATTTGTAAGTGAAATTCTTCTTTCGGCAACTCGCCCATGGTCATAAAATCATTAATTAATTTCGCTTTGATTGATCGTTATCCACACGGGAAATAAGTGAAGCGTTTGGGATTATCTGGGTTTATAAGGACACATTAATGTTGTATTACAGCTCGGTAAATAACGGTTCTAATAACCAGACGTACCTCGAACTGTATTCCTTTTGTCATTGGTAAACGTCATTACATCTGCTATTGGCATTCCCTCGCTTAATACGACTGATTGATTAAGCTGGCAAGATTTATCATCCAATGATTGGCGATTGGAGATTCAGTTTAAATGTGGCGATTCAACTGCACTTATATCTTCAAGTGGTGCGCTTCATTAATTGAGTGTTTGTGCGTTCGGTTAATATCAAATCAAGTGTTAAATAGTTACAGTTAATGGCAACTACTACTCAGAAACTGGCCGATCTTTCATTCAGCCTCTAAATAAATTCTCAACTATATAAAATCTCGTTAGCCCTCTGTGGATTTACTATTCGTACTATCAAATTTAGTGTCGTAGAAAACAACAGGCTTTCAAGAAATCTACAAGGCATTACTACCTACTCCATATTAAAGTGCATAAATTATGCTAAAATCTGTTATAAAAGGGCAAACGCTGGAAGGAGTCGTAATAGATGTTATGAACGCCTTACATAGAGACTATTCAAAACGAGTGGCACTTGCATTGTTTTATAAATGGAATGTTTTACTAAATATAGTGATGGAAGCTCTTTGTTCAGCCGTCGAGCCCTGTCGTGTCTGTTTTTTTTGCATGCATATCAGTCTTCATTTATCTTAACGTTTCCTCAGTCTAAAGGAAAACTGAAAAATTAACTCTATATGCTTTGTTTTTACCGGCATTGTAATACGTTGGAAGCCGAATATGGGAATATAATATAAAGGATAAACACAGTAAGAAAACACAGAAAACAAGAAAAATGTTTATCCGGGAATTACATTTTATTTCCTAAAAAAAACGAAGGATTTATGTTTATGATTATGTCTCTTCTCTAACATGGCTTGAAACGTTTAGACTCATGCGAGACTAAATGGTACAAATGTTCCCTTTGTCTTCCGAGTAAAATATATCCTAGCTTGGAAAATAGTTGCGTTGCTTGTAGGGCCAATTCATTATGTAAATATTCAGTTCATAACACGAAGAAGAGGAGTTAATGCTACAACCGGCACTTAAAATGCGTTTTGATTTATCTGGTACAACCACGCGTAACCAGTTTTTCAACAGTTGCTTAAACTACTTTTGCGTACAAAAAAAGTGTAACAATTCCGTCTTCAGTCTAACACGGATCGTTATTCTGACCCAAGTAACCAACTAAATATACCGATTTAACTTTTGTTATCTAAATTTGCTTCTGACCATCTCTTCTTAAAATCTGGGTAATTTATGGCCGAAATCTAGCGACATCGTCAATCGTCATTATTCAGATTAATCTTAAAATATATCTCCTGTGTAATAATAGACCTCGTAAACGCAGTGAATTTATTACTGACACATGTATTACTTTGTCAATATTTTTCTGTCTCTTTAATATGCCGTATTTATACAAGGAATAATTTTACTCTAGTAAATATTTTGAAATAGTAGCATTTGTTTGATTCTTCCGGGTTTCATTTAATCACATTTCACAGAATATTATTTCCACTTTCCCGTGTTTCGCGTTTCAACGTGTTAATTAAATATACAACTATTGTTCCCAATAAATAAGCAATATTTCATTAAATCACCTCCGCAAGAGTTTTTGGTCTAATATTCAATTGAAAAAGACTTACATTCACTCTGTATGGAAACGCCAGTGTATCTTTTCTATATAAGTCATATAAGTCATTTATTCCCTTTGTAATAAAGCATAAATAATTTCCATTAAAACTGATTTAGGCTGTAAATGACGCGGGTTCTAATTTGCAAATTCATTGCATAAAGCGAATAGCGCGTGAGAAGCAAATGAGGGAATATTTGTAGTTAGAAGCATTTTCGCTTAATTAAAATCTTGTGAATAAAAAGAGCATGGCAAAAGATGAAACACGATCTTTTATTTGGTTCGGCACGAATTCTCTATACAAGCTATATGTGGTTAAAGGAATTTAATAAAATTAATTTCTTATCTATGACGGTTCCGCAAAAGCTCCGCTTAGGAGGATCGATTGTGAAAGTTTTATTTCGCTGCTTTAACACCTTGAATAAATAATGTCTTAAGGCCAAAGAGCCAAGCATTTGAGAACTCGGTTTAAATTACATTCTTTGATATATCAGTTGACAGAATTCAATATAAGTGCCTATATCAGATACTCGATTTTGTTAGGTATGAGGGTGTTTTTGCTGTCGTATTGGGAATCTCGGGTGAACATTGCAGATCAAAGTTGCGATTTTTATGAGTATTTTTCGAAGGCAACTTTAGGTCAGTAAGTCGCGATGTTAGGATAGAAATAATCTCCCGAATTTCTTTTCAGCCCGAATATTATTGGATTATTATTAAGGGCAAAAGCCTGAAAAATTACACAATCTGCTATATTTCATTGTATATTAAAATACCCTCATTCCTTGCCTTCTTGTCGCTTATTCAAGTAATAACAAATTTGCTGGTTAAGAATTGATCCACATTTCACTTTTTTCTTGTTGATTTAGTGAACATTTTCGAACGCCACTTTGAGAATCGGCGTTGAAACACAAATTGAGAAACATCGAATAAGGATTTGTTGTTTTTGTTGCTGTAAACTCCGTTGTAACTGTCTATCACAACCGGGACTTTTGGCACTGATTTCAT